TAAATTTTCATCATATATATTAATTTAATTTGTTTATAAATTTCAATATTTATCATATTCCCCCTAATCATCAATATCTAGAGGTTCATAATTTTGCATAATTTATTATAGAAGAAACCTAAGTATTAAATTTGATCATAAATGATAAATGTCACATATTTAAAAAAACTATCATATCATGGGTGCTTTACTAGTTATTCCACATATAGCATAGTGCGTTTGTTGAGAGCTCCATTCTCAATAAATTCCATTGGTCACCTGTAGCTGGCTTGATGCTGCGTCATGCGTAAGATTGGCAATTAAGGCCACGCGGATAAACTTTGTTGACTTGTCACTGAGTTTGAACCCTTTTCAAATCATTATTTTTATAGTATAATTTTAAAAATAAAAAAATTAATGACCATTGAATTTTTGATAATTTTTAAAAAAGTATATCATTATTTATAAATATTAATATAGACAATTATAAACAAGAATTCCAGTTTCAATCTTAAAGTGACATTTAAAATTTAAGTGCCATTTTTGTTTACCTAATTTAAGTGCTGTATTTATAATTAAAATTTTTAAATTTAAATTTATTTGCACCGTTATTTGCAGCTTACTTTTCACAAAATTTTGTTGAGATTTAATTGTCATTGATTCCTTCTTTTGGAACTTAATTGTTGTTCTTTCTTATTTGTTTTGTCATTCTTATCTTCTTAACCTGATTATTTAATTTAAAATTTGATCTTTTATAAAAAAAAATTATTGATAAATTTTAGCCATTAAGTTTTAATATTGCTGTGGAAGCACATGATTTTTTTTTTTACTTTTTTTATACTTCGTTTTTACTGGATCATTTTTAAAATTTTCCCAAATATCTAATAAAAAATGTGGAATGCCTATCCATCATTTCGGCCAAAAACAACCCATTATGGTTTATGTAAATATTAAAAAATTGTAATTTTATCAAAATCCTACGAAATTCAAATACTAAGTATATAGTATATCATCTGAAGTTGAATAAATAAAACTTAATTGAGGGGACATCTATCATTGTTTTAAAATTAAATATTATTACAATTACAAATATGATGGTATAAGATAAAGGAAAAATGACAGTAAAATCCTTTTAAATTATTTAAATGATATATTGATCCCACAAAATGGCATAATTTTTTTTAGAGTCTCAAAGATGTTTTTTTGTCATTGAGAAATTATAAGAAATGACACTTTTTTCCTTTATTCAAATTAAAAAAATTGTATCTTTCCATTCACAACTTTTGTTCCTATATTAACAACTTTTATTTTTAAATTAGTAACAATTTGATAATCATTCATAACTCCACATTTGTAGGTCCTGATATGCATCTTAGTGTTGAAAATTCATAACTTTTCATTCACAACTTTTATTTCTATATTAACAACTTTTGATTCTAAATTGGCAATAACTCAATAGCAATTCGCAACTCCATATGTGTGGATCCTGATTTGCATTAGGTGTTAAAAATTTACAATTTTCCATTCACAACTTTATTTTCTATATTAACAACTTTTATTTTTAAATTCGCAACAATTCAAGAGCCATTTACAACTCCGCATCCGCAGGTTCTGATATGCATTAAATGTTGAATATTTGCAACTTTTCATTCACAACTTTTATTTTTATATTAACAACTTTTTGTCTCTAAATTCACAACAATGTAACAAGGAATTATAATTTATCAATATTTGTTGTGAATTGACTAAATCAACAAAAATGAATTATCACTCTAATCTAAGAAATTCTAGCTTTCATTAATTTAAATGATAAGAAAACTTTAAAAAATGATAACTATCTAAGATTTTGTTGTCAATTACATGATCTACAATTTGTATCAAAATACCATACAATCCTTTTGACAAAAATATATAGAGGGTTAAATCTTCTATATATAAAATGCTTCGGCTATGTCATATTTATAATCCAAAAAAAATAGTCATCTTTGCACACTGTACAAGACAGAAGCCAACTGAATTCACAGAATATACACAAAAAGGGTGTCATATCCATATCATATTCTAGATTGGATTAGGATTTCTACAGTTCTTGCGTCTATGACCTGGTTAATGGTATAGTATTAGGATTTCTACAGGTCTTGCGTCTATGACCTGGTTAATGGCATAGTGAACAGTAATAAATCTTATTATTCTTATATTTGTATGGAAATTTATAGACAATGCTATATTTGTACAATGCTTTTTTAAAGGCTTCAACATGAGAAAAGGTCTGCCCTACGCTTGACAACAAATCCATCCACTTAGAAGAATTAAGCTCTAGTATCGGTGTATGTGCACTTTGTACTCCACATGGTAATGTTAGACGTTCTCCAGAGGTTTGGTAGGTTAGACATTCTCCACTACTTTTAAAGGCTACATGTTCAAAATCATGATCTTCAATAGTAAGAGAAAGAGAGTTTAGATTTGAAAGTGACAAGAATTGATCCATCCTGCATTCACAATCCATCCAATTTCATGTGTCATTTACATTTACCTTGACAATGATAACTTTAGTTACTAAAATAACAACCATCCTATAATAAATGACAACTTAGAGGAATTAACATAGTAACTTGCACTGGTCCTTTCTCAATTGTTGTTTCTCCATTGCCATTTCCTTTACAACTTATATATACATGATTGCTTCTAATATTATGCTCAAATAAAGTAGCAATTCCACCATCATCAACAAAGTTTATAAAAGTCATTTCATCAAATTTCACAGTGTATTTCATGTCACTCAAATTAGTGTTAATGCTAAAACAAAATGATATCATTGTTCTAAATTCTTCAAATATCTTCCTTTCTCTTATTATTTTTATCCTCACACTCCCCCCATTATATTGAATTTTACCTTCAAATTTTTTTTACAAAATGTCCTATTATGTGGAAATAACAAAATAGTTCTTTTTCAAAACTAGAAGCAGAAGAAGCCATTTCTCATGCCAACTTGAAATAATAAAATAACCATTCATCAACATGTCTATTTCTCAAATATCATGATACATATCTGTTATATTTTATCCAACAATAATTATTTTTCTTATATTCACAACTTTGTGTTAGTTATTCACAATTTTAGTTTATGCAATTACAATACAACTGAAAATGATATATCATTTATCATTTATCTATGAGTAAGCATCCATATTCATATACAGCAGAGAAAATGAAGACCTCAATTATGAAGAGAAAATGAAGACTTCAATCATTTATGCATCTTAACCCGTTTCAACTTTAATTATCACATATGGGAGGAGAAGTTTCAAGGAGGAGAAGAAATTTGCCCACATACAACAAAACTAACAGAGGAAGAATAATTACTTATATATACCAATGTATAAAAGAAATCACCCATGCACAGCAGCTCCAAAAAAAAAAAGGCAAGCAAGAAGAGAAGAAGAAGAACCAAAAGAAGACCATGAAGAAGAGAAGAACAAAAAGACGATGAAACAAAGGCAAGAACGTGCGCCAATTACTTTGGCAATTTAGTCATTTCTTTTAATTCTCTAATGATAGAAAAATTTTATGAGACTCTAAGAAAATTATACTATTTCATGAGACCAATATGTTATTTAAATAATTTAAATGAATTTTTTTATTATTTTTTCTAAAATAAAACCATGTTGAATTGTTGATATGCATGGAAATTAATAAGAATTGGAAATATTGATTAAATATTGAAGTTGCTGGCAAGTGGCAGACAATTGAAGTCTTTTGCGTTATAACAATAAATAAATGCTATTTAAAAGGATAACTATAGAAGAAAATGATGATGATGATGATGATAAAATGAGATGGAAGCCATACATATTAATTATTTTATATTCATTTTCTTAGTGATTGCATGGGTATGTAAATAACTAATTATAAGTAATCTAACTGTTACTATGTCTTAGTGATCGACCTATGTTATGGGGAAAATAAAACCTAATAACACCAGACACAGATTTTAAAAATGATTTTTTTTTCAAAACCTGAGATTATTATTTATTCTCAAAACTCACAATTTAATCCTTACAAAATCATAATGATATTTTAAATATATTACTTTGAATATAAGTAATACTTTTATAAAATAGTATCAATCCACTATCAACTATAAGTTTAAAGAAGTAACTGTAGTTGTCAAAAAGGATGAAGTATGCTTTTACCCTGCTTTTTTTTAATCATTTTTTTATTTAAAGGCTCTAATAGTAATATCCGAAAAGTAGAAACTAAGTGGGAAATTGATTCTTCCCCTATAGCTCTTTAACCAGAATTCTCCCCCATCTCTACATAAATCATTTTTGTTGGGAATCATTTGAAGTGTTTTTGTTTTTTAAAGTTTTGTGTGTGCAAGTATTTTAATTTACTTTTACTAATGTATAAAATACTTGCAAGTTTGTTTTATACTATTATCAATTATCAATGTAACATCTATATCAATATATTTTTGTCAAAAAAACATATTTGCTAAAATTATATACAATAACATTATTTATTTTTGCCAATATATTTATAAGTTACTCCCTCCGTTTAAAAATATAAGACATTTTTAACTGAATCTCACTCCTAATAAAATAGTTACTTATTTTCAAATTACTCATATCTTTTTATATTTATTTCTATTAAACACCCTACAATAAATATAAAGTCATTCATCAATAAGTACACTTAAAAAAAAAGACAATAATTATATCTTAAAAAATTAAAAATGTTTTATATATTTAAATATCCGACTTCTCAAAAAATACCTTATATTTTTTATTGAAGGGAGTATATTATTAAATTTTTATTACCAATTTCTTTTTTACTCACATTAAATATTAATAAAAATATATTATTAAAATATGTACGTATTTTTCAATAAATATGTTTATATTTCATTGAGTAAATTAACGAGTTTTAATACTAAGTGCAGAAAAAAAAAGAATAAATAAATAAATAAAAAAAGGAATTTTCAAGATGTTGCTTAAAACCTAGCAAGTAGTTCCCGCAAATATCTGGCGTCGCATGCTTTGGCTTAGAACTCTATCCACATCGAATTTACTTGGTCTCCGGTCTCTCGTCCGCCGTCGCTCATCGTCGATGGACGCCGTCGAGGAATCACTTCGCAAAGCCTTGTCTGAAAAGCTATCCGCTGTGGAAGCGCAGGGAAATGCTGTCCGAGCTCTCAAAGCCGCCGCCGTCTCCTCCTCTGCGTCCAAGCAGGAAATCGATGCCGCCATTGAAACCCTCAACAAATTGAAGCTGGACAAGGCTTCGATTGAGAAACAGCTCCAAGCACACATCGGCGGCGCCGGCCGTGACGGTTCCATTAGTAAGGAAGCATTCCGTCAAGCGGTTGTTAACACTCTGGAGCGGCGTTTGTTTTACATACCCTCCTTTAAGATTTACCGGGGTGTTGCTGGGCTTTACGATTATGGACCACCTGGTTGCTCCATTAAGTCCAATGTCCTTAGCTTCTGGCGTCAGGTAGGCGAGGGTCTCCATTTCATTGCATTGAATTTTAATTCCATATCAAATTACTTCTACATGCAGGAACTTATTGTGTCGGAGTTTTGATATGCTGTATAATTTGCCAATGTTCAATAGTTATTAGTTGGTCATTTGCATTACAGCGGTAGGTTAAAAATTAGTGCAACCTGAAAATTAAAGGTTTCAATCAGATCAATAGGTTCAGCTAGTGAATGAGGTTCGTTTGGTTGAAGCTGTATGAAGAAACGTATCCCGATGCTACCTGATATGTGAGAGACATAAAGCTTTTAGGTTTGGTTTTGATCTTTTTGATTGGCCACCATATCTTCCATGTCTATAATACAATGCGTCTTATTGTCAGTTTCTCATGGTTTGCAGCATTTTGTTCTTGAGGAGAACATGTTGGAGGTTGACTGCCCATGCGTGACACCTGAAGTTGTACTCAAGGCATCAGGTCATGTGGATAAATTCACTGACCTCATGGTGAAGGATGAGAAAACTGGGACATGCTACCGAGCTGATCACTTGCTCAAGGATTATTGCAATGAAAAATTACAGAAGGACCTGAGCATGGCTCCAGAAAAGGTTGCAGAACTCAAGCATGTATTAGCCACCTTGGATGATCTCTCTTCTGAAGAGCTGGGTGTGAAGATCAAGGAGTATGGTATTACAGCTCCAGACACAAAGAATCCACTTTCTGATCCTTATCCATTTAATTTAATGTTCCAGACATCTATTGGCCCATCTGGTTTGCTTCCTGGGTGAGTAACTCTCCTGACCTTGTCCATATATCTGTCTGTATTTTTTTTTTAATCTATAACTATGAGCCTGACGTTAATACTGAAGCAAATACCTTTGTCTAATGTTGCAGGTATATGCGCCCTGAAACTGCGCAAGGCATCTTTGTTAATTTCAAAGACTTGTACTATTTCAATGGGAATAAACTCCCATTTGCTGCAGCCCAAATTGGACAGGCATTTAGAAATGAGGTTGATAATCCATTCCTTGTGGCCCAGATTTGACATGGGTTGCCTAGCATTAGATTAGTGAATATGTTCAAGTGCCTCTCTTAATGTTAATGGGTTAACTGGTTCTCTGCATTTGTAGATATCTCCCCGCCAAGGCCTTCTCAGAGTCCGTGAATTCACATTGGCAGAAATTGAGCACTTTGTTGATCCAGAAGATAAATCCCATCCAAAATACTCAGAAGTTGCCAGCTTAGAGTTTCTTATGTTCCCAAGGGAGGAGCAAATGTCTGGTCAATCTGCAAAGATGATACGCCTTGGTGATGCTGTTTCCAAGGTCAGTTTGAATTGTAATAGATTTTTTTCCCTTGTTTTTGTCCCTTCTATTGTCGTTACACGACGTTTCATTTTTTATCTTTTGAATATTTGTTCAGGGAATTGTCAATAATGAGACGCTTGGTTACTTCATTGGAAGAGTATATCTTTTCTTGACTCGTCTTGGTATAGATAAAGAACGTTTACGATTCAGACAACACCTTGCTAATGAGATGGCCCATTATGCTTGTGACTGCTGGGATGCTGAAATTGAGTGTTCCTATGGTTGGATTGAGTGTGTTGGCATTGCAGATAGGTCTGCATATGATTTGCATGCTCACACGGTATTAACTCTCTTCACGTATCTTTTATCCATAACTTTAAACCAAGACAGCATGGTCTGTTGGATGTATTCTTTGCTTTCTATAATTTCCTTGGGCTTACCTATGGTCAGTAATCTTGTTGATGCCAGCGTTATAATACTTTTATTTCACTAGATACTGTTTATGTTTATGACGTATTATTACTACACTAGAAATTCCTTGTTTTGCTTCCCATATTATCAACACCGTATGATGTGCTATAGTCTCATAATGTTTCTCTGTATAATATCTCAGGAGAAGAGTGGTGTTCCTCTAGTAGCTTCTGAAAAATTTGCAGAACCTAAGGAAGTGGAGGTAATGTTTTGATATCATTAGCACATAAACATGGACTGCATTCATGATTGGCTGCTGCAATTTTAGGTACATCCATTTGAAGTCAATGGTGTCATCGCCTGACCTGGTATTTTAATGTTTCCAGAAATTGGTTATAGCTCCTGTAAAAAAAGAGTTGGGTCTAGCTTTCAAGGCAAATCAAAAGAAGGTGGTTGAATCGCTTGAGGTAATTAAGCAGTGTTAATTCTCTATGGTTTGAATGCCATCACTGCAGTTGGTAAATTGTGAATTATATGGACCACCAATTTTTTGAATCATGAGTAATACGATTCACAACAAAGTATACAACAACAACAACAACAACAACAACAAGCCTTTATCCCACTAGGTGGGGTCGGCTACAACAAAGTATACATTAAAATTTATTAGACATGGTTGTTTGTCTTGTGCAAAATAAATCATATGTTAATATGGGTCTAAATAGTACAAATATTAGTCTATTGTATAATAAGACATGTAAGTAGCTTTGGGTATTTTTGAAATTTTTGGGTTTCAAGAGATGGACAAATGTAATTCTAATAATAATAAGGTTCAGAGTGTAAGTATTCACCCTACAAGACCCAGACCAAGTTTTTGGCTGTTCTGGACAATCGTTCCTACTATCCCCCTCCCCAAAAGATAAAAGTAAGAGTGAACTAGTTCCAATTTTAGGTGATGCAGGACTCAACTGAACCCAACTCAACCAGAATCTTGCTGGTTTTACAACGAAAAAATTCATATCATATCACTTGATTTGGACAAATTTGGCCATATCTATTTCCTATAGTTGATAGATTTGAAGCCCCTTGCTAATGGTTGTAAAGTACTTAGTTAACATTTTGCATCACTCACGTCTGGATTCTTTTCCTGGCCAGGCTATGAAGGAGAAGGAAGCTTTGGATATGAAGGCAGCTTTGGAATCCAAAGGGGAAGTAGAGTTTTATGTCTGTACACTTGAGAAAAATGTGACTATTAAGAAAAATATGGTGACTATTAACAAGGAGACAAAAAAAGAACACCAGAGAGTTTTTACACCATCTGTAATTGAACCATCCTTCGGAATTGGACGGATAATATATTGCCTGTTTGAGCACTCTTTCTACATGAGGCCAAGTAAAGCCGGGGATGAGCAATTAAATGTATTCCGCTTTCCCCCTATTGTGGCTCCTATTAAATGCACAGTTTTCCCACTAGTCCAGAACCAGCAATATGAAGCGGTTGCTAAATCAATTTCCAAGTCATTGACGGCAGCTGGAATTTCACATAAGATTGATGTGACGGGTATGTTGATAATGTGGAAACACTCTCTTATCATTTACATCATACCAATGCGTAATGATAACAAAATACTAGATGCTTGCATACTGGAATTTCTGCTTAAAGTTGGTATTAATTCTTTCTTTTGGATGAAAATGTGATGTTTACTTTTAGTTGTCTCCGTTTACTTCCCATATCTGTTGGTTTTTTGAATGTTGCAGTTGATTATTTTCTTCCAAGTTCCAATTTAGGCTATAGTTGGACAAAATAATTTTTTTTTTTATTTTATTGTTTAGTGCCATCATTAGAAAAATGACACTTGGTGGGCTGCTTCATAGGAACCCATTTCATGCTTTCTTTGGGCACAAGGGCCTAACATTTTAGATAATTTCCTTGGGGATCTGTATTGCATTTGGAATATTTTTGAACAAGTGATGTAGAGGGAGAAGAGGAGAGAAAAGGGGGAGGAAAATGTAAAAGAAATCGGGGAAAGCAAATAACATAGGAAATGTGACATTTAAAGACCCTATAAAATCATTTATTCTAGTTGAGGACATCAAATGATAGAAATTCAAACAAAAGACCATGGTCCTTAATCATATCTTGAAGGAACTCCCTGGTAAGTAATCAGTCAGGACGCATTTTTCGTTGCTGAAAGGTATTCCCCACTGCAATGAGATCTCCCTCCAACCCCCTTGTTCTGCTCTTATGTTGCAACCTTTTGGCTGATGAAAATTGGCTGAAAGGTTAACATTACGAAGATCTGGGCATTGTATAAGAGGCGATTGGCATGCATTGAATATTTACATGATAGATTACATTCATCTGAAGTTTATGTTGCTAACTTGTGGATCTTCTAAAAAATGTTTCACAGGTACGTCGATAGGAAAGCGATATGCAAGAACAGATGAACTTGGTGTTCCCTTTGCAATCACTGTAGATTCAGAATCATCAGTGACTATTAGGGAGAGAGACAGTAAAGATCAAGTGCGTGTGAATGTGGAAGAAGCTGCCTCAGTTGTTAAGGAGGTGGCGGAAGGCCACAGGACATGGGCTGATGTGTGGTCAACGTTTCCTCATCATTCCTCTGCATCCCAGGAGGATTGAGGATAATGTGTGGTCAACGTCTCTCGCTCGGGTTGACTCATTCACGTTCATTTTCGTGATATTGTTTGAGTAATGAATCCAACTACAAAAAGGTTTAATTATTTATGTTCCATTACTTTGATAGTGATAAAGGAGTTGTATCAGGATAAATTTTATAAGGATATTATATTATCAGACCTTCAGTAACGATTTTGGGTTTATGGATTATCTTATATTTATAATATGATAAATGTTGGTCATTTTTTTGAGTGGAACAGATTGTTCAGTTGATTCCAACAGTTTCAATTTTTTTATTTTTGATGAAAAATGAAATTCAAATATCTTAATTGACGGTATTGTCCTTGTTTGTTTGTGTGTAGTTATCGTGGTATTTGAGGATGAACATGGTACGTGCCCCTTTAATTTCAGAATTCTGACCAGCATTGATCACCCACCAGCGATGGTCTTGTTTTTAGGCCCAATATCTTTACGTCAAAATATAGTTTCCAATTTTCCATCTAGTCTCTTGATCTCATAGTTATGTTTCAGAATTTATTGGGCATAATTTAAAGATAAGTTCCTACAATGGTCCTTTACTAGTATTTTAGAATATTTTGAAATTTTAGTTATAATTAAATTAATATTTTAAGGCATTGTCATTTTATTTTATTATAGCTGTACCAACTTCAAATGTAAAAATTACTTTTTTTGCGGTAAACAATGTAAAATTAAATTACTAAATCATTTAATGAAAGGATAGACATGAATGAGGGTAAAAAACAAGGTACTAAAAATCGGATTCCATTGAACCGGCCAAGAGTCAGGGGTCAGAGGTTCACTTGGGGTTAAACTGGGGGTCAACCCGAATTCAAATCGGACATAATAAAATAATATGATTTAAATAAAAATAAATTCTGTAAGATTTAATATCTTATACAATACCACATACAAGTCTAACACAATCATCAAAAACACAACATTTAAAATACTCATCATTACATCCTTTAATCACCAAAAAGTCTAAAGCTAATAATAATTAACACCAAAATTTTCATTAATTTCATTCAAATCTCCAGGAGTAGGGATTGAAACATTAAGAGATGATTGAGAGAAACTAGAACCACTTCCAACATCATCAATCAAATGTGGATGCTCTGGAATATTGATATCTTCTTCACCTATTTATGACAAGAATTAACATTAATCATTGTGTAAAAAATAATTATATATTATGTAATATAGACATGTTAGTAAGTATGAACCTTCATTATTTCTCTCAAAAGCTGATGAAGCTACAACATTTTCATTATACATAGCACTTTTCATATTAGTGACATCATCAGCATCAAATTTTGGAGCTGGTTCTTGTTCCTCTTCAGCAATCCAAAAGTCTAGTTTGTCAATAAATTCATAATCAATTGGATCAAAACTTGTCTTTTTCTTCAATTGGCTCCTTTGATGAGATCAAAGCAATCAAATATAAGTATATATCTAACATGAAATAGTAATAAAATTCTTATTTATTAAAAACATTCATAACTTTTCATTTTTACCTATGCTTCAATCGTAGATTGTAGTTTGTAAAGACTAAATCATTTAGTCTTTGATGTTCCAATCTATTTCTTCTTTTGGTATGGATGCGCTCAAACAAGCTCTAATTTCTCTCACAATCAAAGGAAGAAGAAGTTTGGCTAAGAATATGCATTGTAAGATTTTGCAACTCTGGAACAGAACTTCCATAAAACGACCACCATTCATCTGCAAATAAAGGACAACTAGTTATATGTTATATGATAAATAAAATTATCATGACCATGTTAAATATTAACACTTACAAGGCTCTAGTTTCTGTACTGCTCTATGACATGAAGCTTTATCAAATGATTCTTTATGGTCACGATACAAGCTCAATTGCTTCATCATCACAATATAATCAATATCTTCATTTTTAGTTGACTCAAACACTGAAAGCATAGCATCCATTAACCTTCTCTTGTGAACAAAGTCATCATCATACAAGAAGGCAGGGTTTAACAAATATGCTGCTACATGAAGATTGGTCTTCAAGTGCTTATCCCATCGGGCTTGAATAATATCTATGTAAGGCTTATATTGATCCTTCTTATTGTTGAAGACTGCCTTAATTGCTTTTTTTGCCCTTTGCATGCCTTCATAAACATAAGGCAAAGAAGGCTTCTCATCTAAATCAACGATTCTCAACAACTTTATGAGAGGAGACACAATCTTCACAACTTCAAGACATTCATTCCAAAACTGATTATCTAATATGATGGCACTAACGATGATTCTGGCTTCGGTCCTTGATAATTTGTGATCCACAAAATGCTTATTAGTGATTAAAGCTTGCAAATCATGCTTGTGCATAAATATATGCTATGCAATGTGATAAATATTGTAGCAAACCTTGTCACACCAGGACGCACAATTTCTTTCCAACCCTTTCTTTTTCTAAGCCATGACAAGAAGACCATATGATTATAAATAAATACAGTGATCTTTGATGCCTTTGTTGCAAGTTGTGACACATGAGACATGTTTGCAATGTCTTTCAAAATGAGATTCAAGCAATGAGCAGCACGAGGTGACCAATAAATGCTTTCATATTTATCTTTAATCAACTTGCCATATGCTATATAATTAGCAGCATTATCAGTCACCACATGCACAATATTTTTGGGACCAACCCACTCAATCACTTCAAAAAACAATGAGAATAAAGTCTTGACATCTTTCACTAAATCAGAAGCATCAACAGATTTCACAAATACTATGTCATGTGTAAAATAGACAAGAAAATTTATCAAAGTTCATTGCCTCATATCTGTCCAACCATCAGCCATGAGTGTGCATCCATAAGTTTTCCATTTAGATCGATGACTTTCAATAAGTAGTTGACATTCCTTTTTCCAATCATTCAACAAGTTAACTCTAAATTCATAAGCATTAGGACCCTTAACCCTGGCCTAATTGAAGCAATAGCACCCATAACTTTTTGAAAGAAAGGGCAATCTAATGTATTAAATGGAATGCAATTGATAATAGCCCATTCAGCAATGGCCGTTTTTGCATTGTGTTGTGCTTCTTTAGTTGTAAATGCACTCTTAATGCCTGGCTAGGAACCTGAAGTTGTCCTAAGAGCAAAATAATTTTCAACTGGAATAGTATGAGGTTTCTTTTACTAGCACTACTCTTAGGGATTGACTTAGATGGAGTAGGTGCATTGGGTTCATTAGCATTAGACACATGTTCCTCCATGTCTGCTTGTACATTAGAAAACTTTCTCTTTTTCCTACTTTTCAATGATTCTTGCATCTGATGACGAATATCAAAAGGAACTTTGCTGCAAGAAATGACATTTCCAGTTACACCAGCAAGATGATGCTTCAATCTATTTATTCCACCTCCTTTATAGCTCAATACACAATAAAGACATGTATACACATTTTTGTTGCCCTCTTTTCTTAAGACAACATATGCCCATGTAGGATCTTTTTTCCCATGAAATGATGGGGTTCCAGATATGGAGTCATTATGACTTGTGGGAGGGTTAATGGAATTAGGGGTGGGATTGTTGGAATTAGGAGTAGAATTCTCAGTTCCTTCACTACTAGAATTATTTTCAATATCCATATTATAGCTTTACTCTGCAAGTTATGATAATGTCAACATAAATAAACATCTAATGAAAAAAAAAAGCTCGAACATGCTAGCAGAGAAGATTCAAGAAGTGTGTAGATTAAAGCAGACATGCCAACAGAGTGCAAATTCAAGAAGTGAAGCTCCAACATATAAAGCAATTTAATTTTAGCTAATATAATTTCAAGAAGTGAAACTCGAACACACATTTCTCAGATTAATTTTAGCTGAAGTGAAGCTCGAACACATACTACTCTAAGAGTACAGGACAGCAGATTTCAAATATACAAAGCAACAGCAGGTATAGAGTAAATCAGAATATAGTACGCAAATCACAAATGAAGCTTGAAGATAAAGAGCAACAGCAACAGCGAGCAAGGATGGACTGCTGAAAAGGGGAGAGAGAGAAGCCATACCTGAATCAAGTGGAGGAAAGAGAGAGAGAGTAGCTACAGGAGACGGACCACCGAAGCTCCAAGGACGACACACGATAGCAGATGAAATGAGACCCTCCAAGCTTGAAGAGGAAAGGAGGAAGATCAAAGAGGTTGAGACGAGACAGCCACAGAGAGGAGACGAGATTTAGAGCTTCAGACAAAGCACAGCCAGATTTCTTGCCTTCTTGGTTCACGGGTTCAGATTCAGAGCTTCAGACGAGATGAGGGCAGGGCGAGGCTTCGAGGATTCTGGAGTGCTTAGGGCTTCTGGAGCTGGTCATTTTCGATTCAAGGCAGACTAGCAGAGGCAAGAGCGAGACTGATGGATGATTGAAGCAGAGTTCTGTCAACTCAAAGCTTTATTTTTGTTTAATATGATGGCCCCCAAAACGACGTCGTTTTGGGGGTCAAATTTTTAAAAAATAATAACCCTCCTGACCTGGGGATTGTGCGGGGTTACTTGGGTTAACCCGAGTCAAAAGTGACCGTTTTGTCTAGATGAATCGAACCAGACTGGACGTCGGGTTGCCAGGTCCCGGTCGGTCCGGTCTGGTTTTCAATTTTTTACTAAAAAATGGGAAGAAAAATTGTAGTTGCATTGATTTTTTTTTGAAAAAGGACAAATGAATTAGTGTTACAAAAATAGTATGGGGCTATAGGACTTGCCAAACATGGCAATTAAAGTCTTAATATTCTTTCTTAGGCCCAAAAAAGAAAAGGAGTCTTAATATTCTTTCCACATTCCCTTGAAACACCATTATGAACTTTCTTGCCGTACAATACTTTGCTGCCATTCTTTTTTGGCCAAAACATTTTTTAATTGGGTTACACAATATTCCAGGCTCCTTCCACTTTAATAAGTGAACGATGCTTGTACTAACTTGAATTGAGCTGAACAAGATCATCAACACAACGAAGCCCCCTGCTAAATATTTAAATTCTAAGAATCAAACTTGAAAACTGTAATTAGGTTGGTACAACTATTGCAAGGTGAATTATAAGTGCATGTTTAGTATACAAAAAAGATAGTTTCTAAAGAAACAAATAATAAAGAGATGGGATGGGTATACTTATCATTTCCTTTTTTAAAAATTAAATTTTTTGTCATCAAATATTCTCTCCGGTCCTATATATAGTGCAATCTAATCCATTCTAAAAGTCATTCCAAACTACTTTTGAAAAGCGCGAGGGAGGGGGGGCAGAGAGAGATTAGTACATGGTTTGTTTACTTTTTACTTAAAGGTTATATTTTAAATTTCACTTACTTTTATTCTTTATATTTTTATTATATTGATATTGAGTAAATTGATAGAAATAACTTATAACTAGAATTAAAGACAGTATTGTATAAGACTTTTGGATTTTCTTACCAAAACTTTGGAAAATGAGAGGTTCCTCTCCCTACTTTGAACACAACTAACCTTGTATAACATCAACCTAGCAGAACCTATACTAAAGCCTACTCCTTCCATTAAAAAATTAAGAAATTTTTTAAGGGATTGGATGTTAAAAAATGTAAGGTATTTTAAGTTTTTTATAGTGAAATCATTATCTTTTTTTTTCAAAAATACCTCTATTAAATATATTACTTTATATTTTTTAGGGTGAAACACTTTATTAAATAGGGATAAATATGTAAAGATATGATTAGTTTAAAAATACATAATTACTTTATTGGGGGTGAGATTCGATTAAAATGTTTATATTTTTAATGAAAAAAGTATAATTTTTCAAGTTAAAAACTCTCAACTCCTAATGAAACTAGTCGACGTTTGGGACGGGATGGGACGAAACATTGGACAAAACTTCAATCTTAATCTTTTTTTGGGAATGGAAACGGGATAAGGGTGTCCCGATTCATTTCATTTCGTGAACACTCCTAACTAAATATGTGATGAAGAGGAAAATATCCCAATCAATCATGATTTTATTAAAATTAGATTTATTCCCCATATCATAAGAGTAACTATTTAAGGGCCTTATATAAATATATTAAAAATAAAAAATAATAAAATTTATTGGCCCATGCATCAGCATAAGAAAAATAAAATTTACACTATAATAAACACTATATTATAATTTATGTCATAATTTTATTTATAAATTATAATTATAGCCAAAAATAATAAATAGAAATTTTGTAAATGTTAAATAATAACTTTAAATTAAGCAAATGGCATAGCTAATAATATAGTGTTCTCTCCTATTTTATATATAATTCACTTTTATTTAATCACTTCACTATAATTAAAAAGATGGGTTAAATAATTAGTTTTTTTTCTAAAAAAGAAAACAATTTCAATCTATTCTTATTAAATGCATCATATTTAAAGATAATTTCTATCTTCTATATAAATTTTTCTATATCCATAAAAATATAAATTTTTATTTAGTTTTATATTTTATTCTACTATTTATTATCATTGTTGCATATTAATGCTCACATTTTTATTGCACATCTCATATTTATTTATTAAATTTATTTTAATTTTTTATAGTTTTTTAATATTTTTAGTCTCTATAATTTAATAAAATTGGATAACTTTTATTTTTCAGGTTTCTATTAATTTTATTTTTCATTGATTTTAATCTCTATAGGAATAGAAATATTAAAAAAATTATAGAGATTAAAAAATAAAATCTGATAAAATTATAAGAATAAGAAATCATGTTTTTTTCATAAAAATATTTTATTAAATTTTATTTTTAATTTTTATATTTTTTAAATATTTTCAATCTCTATAATTTCAATAAAATTAGATAATTTTTATTTTTTTAAGTTTCTATAATTTTATTTTTTCATTGATGTTAATTTTTATAAATATAAAAATATTAAAAAAATTATAAAGATTAAAAATAAAATCTGATAAAATTATAAGAATAAGAAATCATGTTTTTTCATAAAAAATAAATATAAATAAATAGATTTAATGGTTGCTACACACTTTAGATACCAATTCAAGACATCTGGTTTTAGCTCTTAATCCTTGATCGTTGCTAAAGCCTACATTTCAGAGATTTGTTTTGACCTTTTTTCACTGCCAGCAAACACCTATACGGCCTACAGTAGTGGCAGATGCTTTCACCGTACCCTTCTTTATAATCCATTTTCAGTTGACAACGATATATCCATCCAGTCCAATTGTCAGAGCCTTGGTTTTCGAAGAATTATAATTAAATGTCAAAATATTAATTTATTACACATCTCAACAAAAATTTTAAATATTTATCTGTATTAAAGTTTTTGAATTTATAATTAATCTAAATTAATTTTTAATTCATTTAAGAAAAATTTATAAAAAATAATACATATTGAATAATTTTTTTTGAAATTTTTTTGTTTATATCATTTTATTAGAGATAATTTTATTTAAAAATATCAGCATAATGTAAATATTTTTAATAAAATATTAATTGACACATTGTGGGACTAGTGTTTTTTTCTAAATCCAAATTTTTTTCTTTTTGGAAATTTAACTGTAATTTTGCCGAGTTGTTCCATTCCTATCAGTGGGCCTGGGCTATGCTTTGCCCTTCTTTCCCATGGAAATGCTTTTCAGTACTGAAATGGAGAAAATGTAAAAAAAAAAAAAAAAAAAAACAACACACATAAAGAAATTATTTTCTCTCTCCGAGAAGTTCAACACTGCGACGACAATCTCAACAACCTCCTCTTGCTCCCACCAGCTACAAAAACCAGAAGCGGTTCTGTCTAAAATGGACTCACCACCTCCTTCCTCCTCTACCCCTCCTAACAACCCATGGCTTCCTCTTCGTCTCTCTCGCTTTACCAAACCCTCTTGGCTCGATCCGTCTCTTCCCATTCCTCTAATTCATCCACCGATCGTGTTTACTTGTCCAACTTCTCTTCCCTCAGATCAATTTCTTCCCTTCTTCTTCGTTTAACCCAACCACCGCCGTTTCCTATTTGCCTCGTCGGGTTGGTTCCTCCCTTCGGGCTGCCGCGGTTGAGACTCTCGATAAGACCACTGAGAGCTCTTTGGTTGACAAGTCGATCAACACGATCCGTTCTTGTCCATCGATGCGGTTGAGAAAGCGAATTCGGGTCATCCAGGTCTGCCCATGGGTTGTGCTCCGATGGGGCATATTCTCTACGATGAGGTCATGAAATACAATCCGAAGAATCCTAAATGGTTTAACCGTGACCGCTTCGTGTTGTCCCGGCCATGGGTGTATGCTTCAGTATGCTCTGCTTCACCTAGCTGGGTATGAAAGCGTTGGGGTGAGTATGATTTACCTGTTGGATTTCAGTAGGACTGATTCGACCCTGTTTCTCCAATTTATGCAGGCTAATGCTTGTGATATATTCTTTTGACAGCTGAATAGTTTGACCTGTCATCTGGTTAGATCAACAGAGCCTAATAACGAGTTTGTTTTGTTTGCTCAGTTTCTTTTAGCATTTATTCTCTTATGTTTCACATTAAGCTTATACTGTTTGTAGCAAAATTTTCTTGCAGGTAAATGTTTATTTCACTGGCATTTTTTTGTAGCTTTCTTTCTCTGAATTTCTTTCCATGTGTGCTTTACGTCATTTTG